TGACGCGGGGGAGGCGGCTGTGCCGGAGCGCGGGCCGCGAGCCGGGCTCACCTTCGCTCCCCTCAAGGTCCCGCAGACCGACGCCATCCTTCTGGAGCCACACGAGGAGCTGGCCATATGCAAGTACTACGAAAAGCGGCTGGTGGAATTCTGCGCTGCCTTCAAGCCTGCTATGCCGAGATCCGTGGTGGTGAGCAACAGTGCCGGCTCCTGGGACTAAGTCTGGTGACCGACGGAGCCGCGGGCTTTGTCCCCTTCATGTCTCTTGTCCCTTCGCTCGCCTGTCATATTCTTGAGAGCACGGGTGTCTTTTAAGTCTTTTGTCTTCCAGTACTGCTGTCCATCTTTCAGGTTTTTTTTGTCTCTCTCTGTTTTCTGGCGGTGCAGCCGTTTAAAAAACAGAGTTATTTCTTAACTTCACCCTTTTCTTGTGGCTGTTGCCCTTGCATGGATGACTTCTAACCGTTTTCTTTCCTCTGATTTAAGCAAAGGGTAGGCACAAACCTAACGATGTGGATTGAGGATACAGCAAAATGACCTCACTGTAGCTAAGTGAGACAGTCCCGAAGGTGAGCTGTCTGGTTCAGCCGGTTCTCTAGCACTGGTGCTTGTCTGCCCACAAAGAAGCTGGTTCCAGCACCCGTACTGGCAGTAAGCTAACCCACAAAGGGACGAAGAAAATCCTGGAATTGACCTAGCTTGAATGGAGAAGAGTACATATCAGAAGAGCGAGACTGGGGACTTACAGCTGAAGCGGGGAATGAAATTGTGCTGCTTTTGTCAGCTAGGCATTAAGATGTGTAACCTATGTTTGTCCCCTGTCAGTCCTCCCTTTTTCTGGCAGGTGCGGTGAATAACAAAGGTGAAGAGTGTCTTTGTCCGAAGATGCATTTGAAATGTACCAGTACAGTGCCGTTACAGGCTCTGTGGAGACAGACCTTATGGTTCAGAAGTGGCCCCTGCAAGAAAGCGTGTGCTGGGTCAGACTCAGCAAGTAATGCTTTTGGAAAACACCTGCTTTCTTGCCAGTGGCATTCAGATTAGCTTGTAAATTTGGCATTGGCAGACTGAAGTACTTCTAGACACACAGACAAGCATAGGTGTTAAACACGTTAAAATATTAAAGCCTGATGTCCTGGCTGGGGGATTATCCACACCTTTTGGAATAATTTTTTCAGTCATTGGTTTTTAAATTTAATTGAAATACCAGATTTTTCTCATGATGACACTTGTAGGCTTTTTGAGCATTGTCTTCCCAAATATGTCTAAAATGGAGGAAAAGATAGCTGAGCAGCCATTTTGCAAAGCTCTTGCAGGCATAAAGACTTTGAAATATTTAATGACATAGCACTGTGTGACTCTTAGTGCCTTAGTGTGTCCTCTATATCTATAGTATATATTCAAACTTGACTGTTCTGTTTTGTGAGTTCATTTTTTTAAATTCATTTTTTCTTAATCTGGTTTTGCTTCCATACTTACTTTTCCCTCCTTTGTTTTTAATTTAGGGAACAGCTTGCATGTATTTCAAACGTTTTTACCTCAATAACTCGGTGATGGAGTATCATCCTCGAATAATAATGTGAGTTATCAACGTATCTTGAGTTATTTTATCAAGCAGAACTTTGGACGTATAACCATTATATCTGTAAAGACTTGAAAAAATGAGAAGTGAGACCTGACAACTAATATGAGTAAAGACAAAGTGTGGTCACTTTCAGTTTCTATTTGGAGAACTTGCAGAAATTTTGGAGCTGTGTTCAGAACACGGTGTTTTGAAAATACAGATTTTCTCAGCAGAGTTCTTGATGAAAAGATGGATGCTGCCTATGTCAATTGTTTGCTTTTTTTCCTCCTCAAGGCTAACGTGTGCGTTTTTGGCCTGTAAAGTAGACGAATTCAATGTATCCAGCGCACAGTTCGTTGGTAACCTTCGAGAAAGCCCTCTTGGACAAGAAAAAGCTCTTGAACAAATACTGGAGTATGAACTACTGCTTATTCAGCAACTGAATTTCCATCTTGTCGTCCACAATCCTTACAGGCCATTTGAGGGTTTTCTCATCGATTTGAAGGTAGTGTTGTTTTATATGCTACATACTCTGTGTATTAATGTAATGCAAATCTGTCGTGCGCTGTGTTAGAAAACTACTTCCTTTTGTGCCTGTGATCTTAAAAGCCTAATTTCTAAAGTGACAGGCAGATATCTGAAAGGAAGTTATTTTAATTGTGCTCTTCAAGTACTTGTAGATTGTTTTTGGAATAAGAAAATAGCCTGTTACTTTTCAGCTTTACAAAATACTGTTGAATTGCATGTTCTGAGCTCACGAACCGGAGGATAAGGAACACCTACTTACTTACCCAAATACTTACTTTTTAGACTCGCTATCCAGTGCTGGAGAATCCTGAAGTTTTGAGGAAAATGGCTGATGACTTTCTCAATCGAGTGGCTCTGACAGATGCGTATCTGCTCTTTACTCCCTCACAGATAGCTCTCACTGCCATACTATCTAGTGGTTCAAGGGCAGGAATTAATATGGAAAGGTAGTCTTTTCTTTTTTTTGTTACAGGTATATTTTAAACAGTTCTATTTGCTGCTTGTATAAAATTGTTTGGTCCTAGGCATTCTTAACTGGTAGAACAGCGTATTTACTGATAGTTAACGCTCTGGCATGTTCTTTAAGTATGTTTCAAAACTGAAGTGCTACTGTTGGTGGTTTGTTATTTATTTTTTTCCATTTTCAAAAAGTGGGTGACAAATGCAATTAGTTTTTTATATTCCTTTGGAAGAAGGGAAAAAAAAAGAAATGAAGCTGATGACTTTGCCCTAATCAGAACAGCATAGGATTTTCAGACTTGTCTTAAAGATGAAAATGAAGAAAGTGGAAACATAGTAGAAACTAAGAGCATGAAACAGGTAAAGAATCACTTAAAGGAAAAAAAAAGGAATATTTTTAAGGTATATAAGGTTAGAGAGTCAAATCAAATTCCACTGAACTTAACAGCTGCTAGGCATGCAGTGCGATGTTTGGCTGGTACAACGCTTAAATTTCTATGGAAAGGAACTAAGGATAAGCTGCTGTTTTAAATTGGCCCCTTCCTTCCTTTCTGTGGTCTAGCCACCAGTGTTTGCAGACGCATTATCAAACATTTTGATACCATTGCTGAAATGCATGCTTTGTGTGATTTGGTTCTTCTTAAGGACCAAACGTACTCTTCTGTTAGAAGAAAAACTGAGGTAGCTGCTATGAGTAGCTGTATCTGGAGTCTTTTAATGGCATGATATGCCCTGTGAGCATTTTGCATTTAGAGTGTAATGCCTGCAGGCATACGGGTGGATGCTAAATGCAAACAGTTTTTTTAAACCAGCTTTTCCTCCCACCTGTTCTAAATGAATCTCAAATCTCTCTTCTTATAAAGAACCAACAGTTTGGGGGCATCCTCTACAGGGTTCACTATCCTCTCTGAATAGTGTAAAAAAAAAAAAAAAAAAAATTCAGGTGCTTACTATAACTTGAAACTTACTGATGTCATTCCTGAACTTACATTCTCTACTATTTGTGCCAAAATTCAGAAAAGCATCCCTACAAAAAGAAGTAGAATAATTTGTAAATAGCGTGTGAATTAAGGTATGTGAACTTTATCTTTGCATATTCATGAAGAACTCAAGTCTGTCACCTGTCTGCACCATACAGTTGCTATAACCTTGTCATTTATTCTTTTATGTGAGTTTGAGCTGCTGGACGTGAGAGAAGCTAATGTTGCAGCTTGGGCCTTGTGGACCTGTGAGTAGGTGCACCTGCAGAGGTGGGACAGAACATGGAAGGTTTGAAAACCTGTTGATCCCATGATGTCAGTATATAGGTCAACTCTAACTTGAAAAAGTTAGAGCTGCTGGAAAAAACAGGTGCCACTGAACTCTGGCTGATAGGCGGATCCAAATTAATCTTCAGTTCTGGTATCAGCACAAGGTTAAAAAATGCTATTAAATTTGAGCTTTAAAAGAGCAATGGTGCTAACAGAACAGCTATCAGCTTATAGTAATTGTCGTCTTAATGGTGGCTGGTGCCTCAGTCTGGGAGCTGCAACTGATACAGCTGTGTATGTCTGTGGAGTAAGTTTGAAGTTCATACAGGCTGAACAGGTTGATACACTTCGGAGCCTTTGGATTGTTTGTAGTTTATCCATAAGTTCCTTTCATCCTGGAAGGGATGAAATTACTTGGTTGTGGTGGATCTTCGTGAGGACTGTTGCTCATGTATGCTGGCATTTTACTTAGGTGGTGTGTGTATGCATTAATGTTCTTCACTAAAAGGAAGTTTGAATCTCTCGGGGAAGAGGAAGGGACCCGCAGACACTTAAAAGACAGTGTTTAGGATTTGCTTTCAGCTGCCGGAAGAAGCAGACCTGTCTTGCAAGCTTTGCTGTCTGTTGGTCTGTCTGAAGACTACTCTTCTGTAGTATTTGCTTTTTCAGCGGTCGTACTGTGTAGTATTGTGATGTTAGTAGTAGAATCTTAAATGGAAGTTGACTTAACTCAGTGGGGCTTACAAATGTTTAAATCTGTAGCATTGGAACTTTTGTTCTTTACATGTCAGGGAGTATTTTTGTTATGTCCTTACAGAAGAAGAATGTTGCAAGTGACAGATTTGCTTTTTTATCACTTTATAGCACCTATGTCACTAAAGTGTCCTTACTAAGCTTACTTTTAAACCTGTAGCAGGTGTAAATAATCCCCTACCAGGCGAATGCAATACTAGACCTGTTGGTCACCAATACAAGTGAGCTAACTGGCGATGTCAAGATCTGAGGCAGCCCAGGCTGCAGTCATCATGCATGGGTGGAGTTGGCAGTCCTGAAGGATGTGGGGCAGGTGAAGAGTGAAGTCAGGACCTTGAGTATTAGGAAAGCAAACTGCCAGCTCTTCAGGGAGTTAGTCAGTAGCACTCCCTGGGAAACTGCTGTCAGGGACGGGGGAGCAGAACAGAGCTGGCAGATCTTTAAGGACGCTTTCGATAGAGTATGAGAGCTCTTGATCCCCAGGTGTAAGAAAACAGAAAAGGAAGGCAGGAGATGGGCCTGGCTGAGTGGAGACCTGCTGGGCAAACTGAAGGGCAAGAAGGAAACGCACAGGCAGTGGAAGCAGGGACAGGGATCCTGGGAGGAGTACAGGGACACTGCCCAGTTGTGTAGGGATGAGGTCAGGAAGGCCAGGGCACAGCTGGAGCTGAACTTGGCAAGGGATGCAAAGAATGATAAGAAGGGCTTCTGCAGGTGTGTCAGCCAGAAAAGGAAGGTCAAAGAAAGTGTAGCCCCCTTGATGAGCAAGACTGGCAAACTGGTAACAAGGAGAACCCTGGGAAGTAACAGCCTGTCAGCCTCACCACTGAGCCTGGGAAGATCATTGAGCAGATCTTCCTAGAAGCTATGCTAAGGCACATGGCAGGCAGGGAGGTGATTTGAGACAGCCAGCATGGCTTCACCAAGGCAAGTCCTGCCTGACCAACCTAGTGGCATTCTATGGTGG